AGTGTGTGAAAACCCATTTTGTTACTCAGTATATCTCTTAATCCCCAAACAGTGATGATAGCATTTTGATTGCTCTATAGAAAGATTATATAAGGGATAACGGTTTTTTCGAAGGCCAACTGGCAAGGGATCCCATGCATTAACCCTTACTTCTTATAGAACGTCAAAGATAGAGAAAAATTTAGGATGTTTGAACAAAAAGATCAAGTTATCTAAAAGGGGCAAGATATTAGAATGGCTTCAGAATTCTACTAGAGGCATTCAAAGTTGGAATCAATGAAGTTTCTCTCTCCCCGCAACTCCCACCATTTGCAAAAATCCCGAGATGAGTTTTAAACATTCACATGCCATAGAATTCGGGGAGGAAGATACAAACCAAGATTTGTGTTACCCATATCATCTCCTGCTCAGTGGTGCACTTTTCTTCTTTTTCTCTGTCTCTCTTCCTCTCTTAGTTTATTATTTTCTCTGTGTCTTGTTCTCATCTATGTTCTTTTCTGTTTTCTCTCTGCTTCTTCTAGTCTCTGTACATTTACTGCTCATTTTCATACTAGTCACACAGAATAATGAAATGAAATTACTTTTCTTTGTAAAGCTGAGGCGTTCTACTACTTGAGTGTGCTATCATTGAGATTGTTTAGGTAACTTATCAGTATTGCATTTTTGGAGACTCTGAGGTATACCTTGTCATCACTGTCCCCACTGTTCCTCTTTTTTTTTTTTATTAAGTGTTTTTATATTCTGTTAGGTAATTCTAACTCATTCAGATTTTAAAAAATTACCTTCTTACATTGCCTTTTGCTTTTTTCTCTAACAACTGCAGTTGGATGCCCATTAGGTTAAGTTAGTTTAGAGAGAAAACAAATGACTTCGGTTTGTTGTTGATAATTAATGAGACAATGAATGAACATAGCAATGACTCTGGTTTCCCTTTCTAGAAGGTGAGTAATGGTGAGCAATTCAAGTCCTGTGGTGGTCATAGGTGCTTATATCAGCAAGAAGATGCTACACTTAGAGCACTAGGATGCACTGAAACTGTGCAAACTGAGTCTAATCAGATGATGTTTGGTTATTTAAGCTGTTGAATCCTCTTAGAAGAAATTGCTGATTGCCTCTGAACCATTCCACTGTGATATTTACTGAAATGTGATGGTGAAATAGTGACAGATTTTTTTCTTTTTTATTACTTATCCATCACAATTCCTTGTGCCTTGAACCCAAGAAAATGTAATAATATTGATTGTGCGAGAACTTAGACTAAGCTCACTCTGAGGAAGTACATTTTCCTCTCTCCCTCTGATGTCCCTCAGGCAATGACAGTGGGAATATCTCATGCATGTTAAAAGCTGATATCTGCCAGGAGAATTAGTCAGCATATCCTAGATTTATTTCCAGTCTCAGTGTCCTATAAATGTAAAATGAGAGAAGCCTTTGCACAATCAACATACTTTAGCGCTGGGGTGACTGAGATCTTTACTCTGCCCAGGGTAGGAATGACCTGAATGGACTGGAAGAGGGTCCAATCCTTCAAGTCTCTGACTTGGCTAAAATTCCATCCAACTAGTAGTTAACTCAAATAAGCCAGTAGTAGAACGCACTTAATGAAAATGTCTTCCCTGAGATTTTTCAGTGCTCTAAACATTCTTCATCAGAAAATGAATATGACAGATGGCAGACATGAAACTAGCCCTAGCTGCCTCTGAGCTTTACATAATGTTTGATTTTTAATAGAATTATAGGCTCAAAGAATGTTAAAATATTTTCTTTGATTTAAAAATGTGATGGAGTCCTTTCCTTTATTCATTCAAAAATATTTATGGCATTTGTACTATATTCTAGGCCTATGCTAAACCCTCAAAGTGATGGTTGATCTTTCTTATGATAGATCCTCTGTAATACAATTTAATATTCTAAAGAGTGCCCCGGGACACAAAATGAGTCAGTGGAGTGTTAAAATGGAAGGAGGGAGGATGGTTAAAGTTGCTTTCAGACTTTGTTTCCTAAGAGTAAGCAGTTCTCTAGCAGGGGCACACATTGTCACTAAGAGGTGAAGCTTAAGGTCTGAAATGATTTTTAACTGGAGAGGGTAATGAAAGATAATGGAACCAGTTTAAGACATAAAAAAACCTATGTTATCTAGGTATTAGCCTGACTATCTGATAAGCAGTTGGACAGTGGATTTCATAATCACCAGGGGAGAGCTACAAGAGCAAAGGTGAGGTAAATATAGGCAAGTGGTATTGATTGAGCACCTTTTTAAGTGCTTCTTATTTAATCTGCCTAAGAAACCTATGTGTACTATTATCCAATTTTTTTTAAAGATTTTATTTATTTATTTGAGAGAGAGAGAGACACGGAGCATGAGCAGGGGGAGGGGCAGAGGGAGAAGCAGACTCCCCATTGAGCACAGTCTAACGCGGGGCTGATCCCCGGACCCTGAGATCATGACCTGAGCTGAAGGCAGACACTGAACTGACTGAGCCACCCAGGCACCCCTAATTGTTAAAAATGATTGATAATTTCTGAGTGTTCCTACAAGCATTAAATGAGACATGAAAAACGCTTAGAGCGATTCCTGGCATAAAGCAAGAACTCAGTGTAGGAAATAGTTATTATGTAAAGCATCATCTTCTGGTCCAGCCGGGAGGGGTGTAGTAGTGGGAAGATGAAGAGAGAAAAGGAAAGAGAAGACCAAACTGCATTATGAGGCTAGAGAGAAAGTTAGGGAGAGAATTCTGTTCCACTCTGCCCTAGCTTATACCTAGCATCATCCTTAGGAAAAGAAGGTGAAAAGGGTAAAAATAAAGTCTTTCCTCTTTTCATTTGTCTGTCCCTCTTGAACCCAAGTGTCAGGTCCCAGTACAGCCCGCTGGCTTTCCAGAACATGTCACAGGATCTATCCGTATACCCCCTCAGCTATCCTCAGTTCATGTTTTAAGGCTACTGTTCCTAACCCCCAAAATACTCTTGCCCTTGCTCCATTCTTTTAGTGGTAAACTCGCCTCTGTTAATTTGAGACATGGATTTTTAAGTTATTTTATCAGTGAATTAATGTTATTGTGTATTTTCTTTCAAGGAACACATTTACATTTTATAAGATGACTTACGGAGGCCAAACCTTAAATCAAAGAAGTGACCTTATGAATTAGTGTTTTAGCTTCTATGCCAGGATGGTGTTAGAGAAAAACTGGGGGAAGGTAGCCTTTCCCAATGTTTTTCCGATTAATTGTTCTGTCTTCTGGGACCCCTCCCCCTCAACACCTTTAAACAGATGAGATGTCAAATGCACTTAAAGGCAGTCTGGTTCATTTCTGAGGTGGTCCGACTTTGATGTTTGGGAGGGGGAAACCAGAGAAATTCTAGTGTTCAACATTCATTCATTTCTTCACATTTTTCATAGATTGTGCTCTGTCTCAGTTGTTCTGTAGCTTTCTTATGGAAAGAACTGAATTAGCTGTCACTGCTTTAGGGGGAATGAATTTATAATAGGTTGTATTTTGGTGAACTTTTATAACTGGATGAATTATTTTTTATCCCCCAAAGGCTCTCTTTATTAAATGGCCACTAGACACAACCATAATGCTAATACTTTTTTGAATTAGTCTTTTTGGATGAGTGCTTTCCCTGAGGCTAAGGGCTTTGGATCTATCTCCCAGTGTTCAGCCGTAGAATAAAGTCTGGGTAAGTTTTTGCAATGCTTTAGTTTTACATTAGTGTACTTAAGTCATATTCCTAGCTGGGGTTTAAGGAGTTACACTAAAGAAATTGAAAATATGTACACCACTAAACACTTTCTGATTTATGTGGCTTCATGCTTTGAAGTTTCCCAGAATTCTTGTCAGCTTACCTGGTGAAGAGGAGTATTGGTCTGGTCTAAAATATGCTTCTTTATTGTCTCACTTGGACAAATGGAAAGAGATTTCACTCCTTTCCATATCTTTTGTTCCTAAACACTGTACAGCTATCTAAAAGTTACCTCCTCATCTGCTCTATCCAGAATTAAAACTGAGAATATCACTTCTGTTTTTATCCACAAAATGTGTGACAAACTAAAATTATATCCTTGCAGTCATTAAAATATTTTTGACTAACCTATTAGGAATTTATAAATAAGGTGTCAATTTTTATCACATGTATTTTCTGTGAAAGCAAAAGCAGCTCCTTGTACTTGATACAGAGCTACCCAGTAAGAACTTTCATAAAGACTATGTCTATGATTTCTAGAAGGTATCCTCTAAACCTCATGAAGGAGCAAGCAATCCAGAAAATGTTGCTGGGAAATGCTTTGCTTTATTCTGAGGTTTTCTAAGAGTTTGTACACAAACCTGTTTTCCTTGGATTTGGAATAGTTACTAGCAGCTTCTGTAAAGAAAATCATCTAAATAACAGTGGACCATGGTGGAATTTTCCTGAGGGCTGAAATGAAATATATAAAATAGGGACAATACTTGTGAGTTCTTAAAGTCATAGTTAGGTGATTTTCCTTCTCCTTACATTGACTGAGAAGTCTTTTCTTAGGCAATTTTCAAGTTAAGATTTTACTGTCACTCCCTTTAGAGAGAGCTAGCTCAACTTTTCTGTTCCATCCAGGCACCTTTATAATTTGGTAAAGTTGTACTTCTACTCTGACAACCACAGTATAGTAAGGCTTGAGGATAAAATACATTGGAGGAATGATGAAAGCTACCTCCAAACTTTCTTAGGCTGCTAATGCTGACCAGACCTCAAAGAACTATTTTTAGGATCTATTAAAAGAAACCAATCAAAATCCTTTTTTGATATTAAAATCAGAAAAAGGGAAAGAAAATGTTGCAGAGTTGAATTTGTGCAATAGAAGCAATGATTAGAACATACACACATTTTACTTAGATGACAAACACATTTTTCAACCTTTAATGAGGTTGTTATACTGACAAAAATATAGTATAAACTGCTTTTTTTATCCTTTTGCACACCTGCAATTTAGCTCCTGGTGATTTGGTTGAAACTTAGGGCCTCACAGGGCTGCTGGCCAGATTTTTCAAGATAGCCATCAGCAAGAACATTCATCGACTCTTTGCTTTGGAAGACATTTTGGATGTTGTTAAGTAATATCAAGGAAAGGGATAGCAACATCCTACCCCTCCCTGGTACATCCCCTCTAGGAGCTTCTCTGACACATACACTGTCCTTCACATCTATACTACATGAAAATATTTCTACGGAGAGGTTATCAGCCAGGAAACCTTTGTTTTCCGTTTATAGCACTCTAGGCTCTCTCAGTGCAAATCCCAGATCTGACTTAGTTTTAGATGGTAAAAAGTCAAAAAATATATGAAAACCTAGAACAGCCTTAACCTCACTGGTGTATTATAGTTGTAAATGCTTATAATAGTTTAATTAGCCAATTATCTCTCCTTAAGTACTTGTATGGGTCTGAAACTGCTAAGCCTTTCACATTTTTAACTTCATTTAATACTTATGACACTACACAAGTATTTTTACATGCATGGATGGAATTGGAACATTCAGAGATATTAACTTGCCTACCTGAGATCACATAGAAGGTAAACTAGCAGGGCCATATTTTTCTGACTGTAAAGTTTATGCTCTAACTCAGTTTATTCCCACAACCTTTACATCATGGCTCCAGCTGTCCAAGCAACAACCCCCACCCCCAACTGCTGTCCTTGAGGGTGAGAGACCTGAGGGGTTTAGTACTGGCAATATGTTGGTTGGGAAGCTTGGCTCTAACCTAATATGTATATTGCTCCCCTAAGCAGTGCCATTGTAGTTGCTTCTTGTAACCAGTTTATTTTCCTGCTTTCCTTCTCATGCATATGCAAGATTGATGTCGTTGTTAAGGTTAGAGAAAAAAACCTAGGATTTCTGAATTTCTCATTGCCCTCTAGCTACTTCCCCTGTGGCACGTCTTCCTGCTCTTTCTCTCCAAAATTTTTATCCATTCTTCTTCATCTATTAGAACTATCACATTTATAGTATATTCATTCCACCAAAGAGTTAGAAGGGAGCTGCTTGAATCAATTGATTTTAAGTTGTAACTGTTTGATATCTCATACCTATTAAGGATACTTATTAAACAAAGTTAATTTCTGCATATAAATTCAGCCAATATGGGAGTGACAGTGTGGGACTGAGCACTCAGCATTCTGCATATTATGGGCTCTAGGGACAGGTAGGGGAAATAAATCTTAGTAGACCTGGGCAAATCGTTGAGCAGCAAGTGACACTCAGATGGAGAACTGATGAGATTAGATACTCCTTTAGGTCTTTAGAAGGGCTCAGAGCAGCTTTAGGCCTGTCGAATTTTCCTCTTTCCCTCCAACAACTAACCTCTGAAATACTTTCTGAGAGTGCATGCAAGTATTAATAATTTACAGTCATTAAAGTCATAAATTATGCCTGATTGCATTGCAGCATAAAACCAGTCATGCCTATTTTAAAGAACTGGTTTAATTTACCTGCCTGGAAGACCTCTCTGATGGTTGCTCCATAACCTCTCCCAGGATGCTTAGGCTTCATGTCTTACAACGTATACAAAATAGCTATTTGCTTGGAATCTCGAGTCAGAGAGGAAATAATGCCCCAAGGTCATCATTAAATCCATGCTTAGCTACTGGGAAATCATACAAGCATTTTGGTAGAGTTATAAGAGCATGGGCTTTGAAGACAGACAGAACTAGGTCTAATCCCTATTTTGCCACTTATTAGGCAATGTATGATCCTGGACGCATTTCTTAAACTTGGTTTTCTCTCTTATGGAGATAATATGCCACTGTCAGGAACAAGTGTGAGAGTTTAAATAGCACAATAAATGTTAATTCCTCTTCAGTCTGTTTATACCCAGTGCTGTGGGGCTGCTCAGAACTGGCTTTTGCATATACAGAAACAACTTATGCATTCATTCATTCATTCATTCACTCATTCATTCATTTTTTCATTTTAAAAAAATGTTTTGAGTACTGAGTGCCAGGTAGAGACTTAATTAAGGGCCTTAATGGAATCCATGGCTAATTCTATTTCAGTATTGCTTCTTATTCACTGGTATTTTCTCTGTGCTTCTTGTATAGTAAATAACTAGCTGATCTGGCATTGAGCTTGAATGTTCTCTGTAAGATAGTTTTTCTTTCCTGTGGAAAGCAAATCCTGTCTTCAGGCTTATTGATGAGATAATAAATAAAGGAGGCCTTTCCTTAACTAAGAAAGAAATGTTTGCATGTGTTCTCTTCCCCACCAGAAACTTTAGAGCAGAATTTTCCTGTCTTGTAAGCACGTGATAATTACTCATCTAATTTAGTTTCACGGATGTATTTTGGGGAGAGGCAGGAGAGTTTGGCAATGAAGATCCCAAGTCATGATCCCCTGCTCTGTTCTTCCACAATCTTGGGTTGATTTTCTAATTGCAGAGAGCCATTTTTTTTTTTTTTTAAGATTTTATTTATTTATTTGAGAGAATGAGAGAGAGAGAGAGAGCATGAGCCGGGGCAGGGGAAGAGGGAGAAGCAGGCTCCCTGCTGAGCAAGGAGCCCTATATGGGGCTCAACTGCAGAACCCTGGAATCATGACCTGAGCTGAAGGCAGATGCTTAACCGACTGAACCACCCAGGCGCCCCTGAGAGCCATTTTCTTAATGGAATAAACCGAGACTCAGAGAAGTTAGTTGGCTTTAAGTGTGAAACTATAGGGTCAGGGTAGAATCAGATTAGCAGTATCTATTAGACTGAAAGTTGGGAACTACTCCCTGTGTTTTAAGCATAATTAGGTCAGAACTATTTTGGTAATTACTTCCAGGATGCGTGCATATTTGTATGTAGGTCACAAATGATTATCTATAAAACTCCATAATATGCCTCATTAGAAAACACTCTTCATTCCCCATCCTGCACCTCCCCCCTGAAAAACATACAGCCCAGACCTGTGGATAAAGAAATCATTTACATAAAAAAAAAAACTAACTGCTGACAGCTTATCATCCAGGCTGATTACACAACTGGATAACACAATTAAGTAATTGAAAGGGCCGGAGGTATTAAGTGGTTAGGGAGGTGGAAGAATCTATAATTACTTAGGGGGAAAAGGTAGGTCACAGCAATGTGGGTTTCCTAAAGCTGGTAGGAGGTATCTCCATGCCTGTGGCTACAGATCAACAATTAATCAAAGTTTATGTTTGAAGTAAGAAATGTAACAAACAAAGGCAGAATTGCCTTGTAGAGCTCGGAGGCTGCAAACTGAGATTCTCAGGGTTCTTTCGCCTCAACAATTGTTTGTTGAGCACCTACATTTTCCTAGCCAATAATAAGTCCTGGTGGTACAAAAATAACTGGACACAAATTCTCTCCTAGAAGGATTCTCAATGGTACATTAGGAAAGAGGTCAAGATAGATAAGCATTGGATTAGGACAAGTACTCTAAGTGAATTATGTAGAAGGTATTGAAGAAACAGCAGGTTCTGTGCTCAACTTTTCTCCATTGGCAGAGAAGATCTTGAACTAAATTGAACTAATTTGAACTAAATCAAAAAGCGGTGTTGTGGTTGTCCAGGGGTAAAAGTGGGGAAGAATAGTCTAGCCGGAGGAAAGAGCATGCACAGAGAGTTATGAGAGATTATGTGTAGGAAATAGCAAGTAGTTGAGTCTGGTGGAATTTAGGGGTACTCGGGGGATTGGGTAGATGCAGGGTGAGGCTGGAGGATAAGGCTCTAAGACAAGCACATAGTTTCAGGATCCTTTTTCAAAAGTGAACAAAGCTTTTGCGTTCTTCAAATACAGAATGTTCATTAACAAACAACTTGTGATTTCAGATTTTTTCCTTAAGCAAAATAATTTGAAAGTGCAGATAGTACACTAATTGTGTTTAGCTGCAAGAGATCTTTTTCTGTTTTAAATTCATTTTAATTAAATCCAATTATAATTTGCAGTGCAACCTCAAAGAATCTTGAAAAATGTTTAACTAGGAAGGCAGAAATAAAAATAAGAAAAAGTTTCTACTGCCCTGGACTTGATAATCCGGAGGAATAGGCAAAAGTAAACTCTGATCTAAGAAAGGCTGGGAAAAGTGCCATTTTAAGATGCTAATAGATCACAGAGCAGAAGGCAGGACTAACCTGCCACGTGAGTGGGAGTGAATGTGCTCTTGGAGGACGGACATGAGGTCAGAGTTTTGAAACATGAGGTTTTTAAGAAGCATATAGGGGATAGAATAGGAGAAATCATCTGGGCTAAGAGATACTCATGAGCAAGGCTAGCATGAATGTGGAAAAATGTAGTGTAGATTCAGAAATGTAGTTTGGTGGGGTCGGACAGTCAGTAGGTGTTGGGGTTGTGGGAGATAATTGAGAAATTTGAAGAGCCATATATTCTAGCATATAGTTCATTCATCCAACTCATTCATTGTTTTATAAATACTTACTGAGCTCCCAGGTTGTTTGGGGAATTCCAAACTTAGATGCAAAGAAGACAAGAAAGACCTACTCCCTGCCCTCTAAAGCAATAACAGTGGGAAGACACAGAAAATTTCTGAGCAGGAGAGGGACACTATATAATCCCTTCAGCTGCTCTTCCTAGTTGAAGTCATCCATGGTCCTCTCCTGATGACTTCTGTCAACATTTTTGTCTATTGCAATATTCATGCAGATGCTCCTTCCAACACAGTATATACTTCTCAGGTCCTTGTCTTCCTCATGGGACAGTTCATCTAGTTGTTCAGAATAAAAGCCTTGGACTGATCCTTCACTTATTTCATATACTACATCCAATCTTCAGCAAGTTCTTATAAGCTTTATATTAGTATATCCTGAATCCAGCATTTTCATTCTCCTGCCTCTACCTTCCTAATCTCTTGCCTGGATCACTGGGGTTCCTGCTGCAACTGGCCTCTTCCAGTCTTTTCTCAATTTCACAGTCAAAGGGATTCTTACAAAATACTAAGTCAAAAGATTTCTCTTCCTGCTCACCAACCTCTCAAGGCTTCCAATGCCATGTAGAATAGGATACAGAGTCTTTACCAAGGCCTTTAAAACCCCACATAGACTGTCTTCTACCTCTGATCTC